TTTTTTTTTTTCAAAACCCTGAAGCCCAAACGGAATTGTCCACCAGTTCTGGTGTTTTTTTCCAAAACCTTGAAGCCCAAACGGGACTGTTCACCAGTACTGGTGTTTTTTCCAAAACCCTGAACCCCGAACAGAACTGTTTAAATTTTTAATTTTACTTACATTTGGCTTAGTTATTTTTTTTTTCCTACTACGTATAAGTTTAGCCTCATCTTTTGCACTAACTTGTAATTTCCCTCTACAAAAAACTTACTTCACAATACTTTTAATTAAATTCGTTTCTTAAATATTATCATGGATGCACATTGCAACAACTGCTCTTACGATAGAAACGCCCCGCCAGAAATTGCAACAAAATACGTATCAAGGTCACCGGTGCCCACTCAGTTCAGAGTGTTAGTCTGAACATCCACAAAAATTTTCACTGCTTTCTGATACTAAAATGCATGTGTGTTTCGTATTCTCGCTTTTTTGTGAACTTTTATACGTTTTTGCATATTATGCAAATGAAAAGACGCATATGGCAAGAGGTTGTCTGTGTATGTATGTTTGCACTTTTTGTTACCCATCATTAATTCGAGGATTAGAAAAGCAGGGAGTTGAAACACCGGGAGCATTCGCCTATTCTGTGTGCGACCCTTGTTTTAATACTACTATTCGCTCATATTTCAATTTTACATAAGGGCACCAAAAAATATACTGGCAGGAAAGCGATCTCAAGAACCAGAAAAGATAGAAAGCTGAAATTTCACAGCGATGTTTTATGTCCTTTTATGAGCTACGGATTTCAATCTGCTTAGCTTTAACGAAGTTGAGATTTTGTGACTGTAAGCACAGTGTCAGTTCAGGGACTAAGTTAATTAGAAAGTTCTAACTTTTAGACAATATTTGTTTGCACCGGCCATCCCTCTTGATGACCAAATAGAAAATTTGATATACTGGTCGGCGGCTAGCGTGTTTAAACCCCAGTAACAGCTCATAAATCTATTAATCCTACATTTTGCCGGATTATGAGCCATGATTTAAAAAAGTGAATCAAAATAAGTACAACTTACTCAAATTTAGTATTTGAAGCGTGCATGCTCATTTTGCTCCCACTGGCAGGATTACGCAAGAAAAACATGCTAAGGGCTTTCTGGTGCGCACCAGTGATTATCCACATTTTTCAGTTTGCATGGATGCAAAAAATATGCTCAAATTGGAGATTTTTCAATTTGCATGAATGCAAAAAAAGCATTAAAAACATACTTGAGCAGCGTTGGTTGACTGTTGGCGGAGTTCTTTCGGGCTCTCGGTTCGAATTCTTGACAACCACTACCGGAATGTGACAGCGAAGAGTTGTTCCCACGACTTCGTGACAGCTGAAATGAGATTTTTAGAACGCTCGAACGGATTTGAACGAACTCGATTCTCTTTCTGCTCCGGGCAAGAGATTTGCGGGTCAGAATTGCACCCCCAACGAAAATACTTCCATTTATGGATCAGATTCTTTGTAAAAACAGGGGATTTTTAGAAAGAATTTTCTTGCTGAAT